AAGATGAGACTAATAATTATATGGTTCGGTGGCAACTAGGCTCAGCATTTGTTTGCGTTACAAGTTCGCGGGTTAGAATCCCCCACAGGACAAGTGTTAGATTGATCGACAAATATTTTAACCGGGTCTGGATGTTTGTCCGTGTGCAATTTCTATATGTAACACTCCTCTGCGAAACGGGAGAAAACGAGTATCCGACTGCGGTACCCCCCGTAGTAGTGGAAATTGATCTATTTCCTCGCCTTTTTTTTAAACAACTTTTTGATTTGTGTTATATATATAAAAAAAAAAATATATATATATATATATATATATATATATACTACCTCTAGAACACACCTGTATCCGAGTTTTCCTCTGATCGAATGGGATTACAGAAGTCACATATGGTACGACTAATCCTAGTGATCAGGATTATCACGTGGCCTCTGGTGGTAACGTGGTATGTTTACACATCATCGATATACATATATGTAGTACGCAGCGCGTACTCGTGATTTGGAATTATTTGCCGCCATGATAAACTTACCTACATATTATAGGCGCGTGCTTGAAATCGTCCTTAATAACGTCTAAATAGTATTTTTGATAGACCACGCAGAGGAAGAAAGTTAGGATTTTGTTTTTCTACTTTTTTTGTGCCACCAGCTCCAATTCATACCACATATTATTATACAACGTCCTAATACGTAAGTATTTTGATAGACCACGCAGAGGAAGTTAAGGTTAGGGTGATTGATTTGTTTTTCTAATTTTTTTTGTGCCTTTATAGATAATAGTTTCTTCACTCTACATATTATTATAACTTAATAGAGATAACCACCAGAGGAAGTTAAGGTTAGGGTGATTGATTTGTTTTTCTAATTTTTTTTGTGCCTTTATAGATAATATGCCATCTCCAATGTTCTGTAAGAGGCTCACGTTTAAGAATTTGTGACTAAAATCTCCTAAAACATCCTAGCGATAACTGGCCCGTGTCGCTGTGGCTTAATTTTAGTTTGCCCATCAGCTTTGCCTTACATCGTTAAACTACGGCACTCGAAACGTTCATCATGTATGGTTTTGTACAAAATACCCTTCTCTAGCGACCTGCGATAGTGCGCTTGATGTTTAAAACTGGGATCGCAGGTCCTTACTTTTTTTTTTGTACATCTCTTAAATAGTATGACATATATATTATAATATTTATGTCATTTCCAGCTTCTATAATTCCTTATATTATTAAAGGCTTATGATTTTATTTATTTTCGTTTTATTGGTATGAAGGTACCAGTAAACATGTTTTTAACTAGAGAAATTCAGTTTATTCTTTAGATTTTATGTCTATTGGCTTTTATTACCAATTGGTCGTTAATTTTGCTTATTTATAGATTGTGTACACAAGGAACACGTTTATTTGTTTGTTTGAAACGCATGTATATTAAACACAGGAATTTACTGAATTGATCAATAATTTACAATTTTATTCTTAGATAGTACTAGCTGCCCGCGCGACTTCGCCCGCGTGGGATTTACTACCTACGAATGAATTTTAAGGGTAAAGCGATATCAATAGTAAAGCCTAAGCTACTCCTTATAACATTGGCTATCTGCCAGTGGTAATCTCGTCAAAATCGGTCCAGCCGTTTTGGAGATTAGCTAGACCAAACAGACAGACCAATATTTTAAAAATTGTTTGTTTGTTATTAACGCCATATATACTTTCGTATGAATTACTAAAAAAAAACTGTTAATATGACATTAAAAAGAGACTTAAAATTTATTTATTTGTATAGATAATGAATTCAATAAAAATATGACATACATAAAATAATTTTTGATTTCTGACATGTTTGTCAAGAAAACATGTCAGAAATTTCAAAATTTTGTGACTTCATCAAATATTCTTCTTGTTTGCCTTCATCAGCCTGAAGTCTACTGCTGGAACAGGGCATTATCTGTCGCAGGGTGGACTTTTCGTAATCATCACCCTTGGGCAAACAAATTGACAATAATAATATCCTCCAGACCGAATTTCGGTCACGGCGGTCAGCCTCAACGGAGGCTAGCCATCGGCGCAGCACAGAATTATAGTACCCAAGTGTATGCGCAAGTACAGGTGCACTCTTTATTCCATCACTCTCATATTCCGATGGGACAGTAAACCGACACAACCGAAGAGAGATCAGGCGCAGGCCCAACGGCTTTGCGTGCTTTCCGAAGCATGGGCGTGATACACCGCCAAGTTCCTGACTCCGGGCACCTATTGAGAATTTCCCAACGGAAAAACTCAGCAATTCATTTTTTCGCCCAACCCGGGATTTGAACCTAGGACCTCATGATCAGTAGTCGTGCCACTACAACCACTAGACCAACGAGGCAGTCACAATACTAGGTATATGTAGTAGTATATAGGCATTTTTGACGCTGTTGTGCCCGTCACCTGTCTGATCTGAGTCTCGTAGATATTTTATGTCTGATGTAAACGAGATGGTTATACCTCCATATATTTCAAGCCATAATATTTTTCTGCCAATACTCCAGGCCGCCACGAATAAAGTCGAAATCCACGGGATGAAAAGAGGTGATGTATTCTTAATACTTTGTTTATGGTGATTCGTAAGTTGTAGTCTATATTTGTGGCAAAATATATTTGTGTGTTGTTGACAACATCAGATCGTTTTTATAAGTTCATATGTGGTAGAGCCACGCTGCAGCTGTATTATGGCTCGACCGGGGAAGGATCACGCTCTCACAGAATACCAGCATAAAATAGCAGATTAATACTGCTGTGTTTCGTATGTTAAGTGTAGAGATCCGGAGACCCTTTTTTACTTGAAACGAGGCATTCCATCAAGTCCCCAGGGGTGACAACGCATCTGCGTTTTGATTCTTAATCGAGGATAATTAATATAGATGTCTATGGACTACAGCGTCCACTTACCATCAGGTGGACTGTGTGGTCGATTGTCACCCTTATACTATAAATAAAGTTATTAGAATCGATTTGAAGATCAAAATCCTTCCCATGAAATAGGCGTATAAGGATTATCCAACGCAGTAGATATATTAAGTAGATATTATAAGTAGTTATAACTGTTCAACATATCATTATTATAGTTCTTATTTAAATATGCGGCTTATTAATTGTCCAAGGCAGTACTTTGGAATTACAGACTACATGTGCGAGTGACGATACTTGCACATGTAGGTGAAGTAGATGAAGAAAGTAGAGGTCGAAATATTTTTCATCAATTCAGAAAATGCAATTATAATGAAATATGGAGATTTTGTATTACAGTATATTAACGTCCTATCCTGCTTGCATAGACAATATTAATTTCGGGGGTTAACGTCGTTCGCTCGTCACCTTGTAACATGTTTTTATGTCGTCGTGTCCGTATTTCTTACCATTTTCGATAATGCCTTTATATGCCTCGATCGCCCTTCGACTTATTGGGGCATCTAATTTGGACTTGTTTTGAAGTACGGGAATGCTAGAGTTAAGTTTTTTGTAAGTTTTGGACACCGTTTCCAACATACTTACTTTCCAGATTAGTTTATTTCGCAAGTTAAGAATTTAGACGAATACACTCAAGGACTTTTAATCCGGGTTAAGGCGCACTAGATTGTATTTACCTAGATCTACATCTATAACAAGTACTTAGCTAATAAAGATATTAATGACTTATAATATGAATCGTGGATTTAGTCAGTATAACCGGATATATAATTGTTGAATTTACTGCTAACTAGTATCCAGTGCTCGAAATTCGACCGTTATTTATTAAATATTTAAGTTTGTATATTAAGCAAGCTACATTTTACTTTCAACAATATTATACAACAACATTAATATGCAAAATAAATGCTTTTCTGCTTTAATATGTACTCCATAGACATAGAAAAAGAGACATAGAAAAAGGAACCCATAGACAATTCACTGTTTATGCCTTGTAAAATTATTTGACCTAGCCCGAATGTTTGATCATAGACTATTGTGTGTTCTAAAACTTCGATTGTCAACACAGACCTATCGTGGCAACTATGGCAAATATCTCCTCTATGAATGGGGGAGGCCTAAGAAGGTATCTAGATAGACGACGGACCGGAATGGATTCCGATTCCGTACGAAAAGCTTATTTGTGTGATTTTCTACATTTTCATTAAAAAAAGTGGTTCAATTAAGTGGCGCAATTAAATAAATAAGGTGTTAACGAGTCAGTGCGTAGTGGCAGGAAGTGAGGCATTTCATTAAAATTCTCAGCGGTGAAAATACTCTATTATATAGAGATTTTTTGAATGGGCTGGGGCTCCCCAGTGCTAGCTCCTTCCACTTGACCGCATCCAGCGCAGAGCGGCTCGAATCATCAACGACCGATCCGACGGCTCGATTAGCGCTCGAAGAGATGTTGCATCTCTTTGCATTTTATTTCGCATATATCACGGGGGGTGCTCTGAGAAATTGTTTGGATTAATTCCAGCTGCCAAATTTCGTGAACGCACTACGCGGCAAACGTTCCGATACCATCGACACCATCTCGATGCTTGGCGGTCCACCACTGTACGCTTTACAAGGAGTTTTCTTCCGCGTACAACATCTCTGTGGAATAATTTACCACCGGCGATTTTTCCGGACCGATACGACCTTTGGACCTTCAAGAAAAGAGCTTACTCATTTCTAAAGGGCCGGCAACGCACCTGCAATTCCCCTGGTGTTACGGTTGATCATGTGCGGCGGTAGTCACTTAACATCAGGTGAGCCGTATGTTCGTTTGCCCCCTCTTCTATAAAAAAAAATCTTCTTATACTTAGCGGTTAGCATGGGAACATCTACACTCTTAGTGAAAAGTGTTGTACCATCATGAGATCTCCTATAGGCTTCATGCAAATAGCACACTTAATTTCTGTTTAGGCTTGATTCGTGTGAGCGGCTGACTGCAGCGTTATTCTATCTATTGAATGAAAATAGTGTAAATTTCCATAATTGTTATTCATTTTTTAACGATTTTGTTACGTAGGAGGAGCTGGACCTGACGGCAGTGAACAAGGCAGCCATGATGGAACTGCCAGCGGCGAAGAAATGGCAGATCTACTGCAGCCGCAGGCCGCCACCAGGGGCCCCTCCACTCGCGAGTGCGCCACAAGTCGAGGAGTATATCAAAGCTCTTAACGAGATCGCTAACGTAAGTGTTAAAGCTGCTGTTCTGATTTTTATGTGTTAAAAATAATTTTAAACCTACTGCAGAGTACAAAAGTCTATTGTGATGCTGCATCTAAAACAAATATTAAATGTCAATAATTGTTATCATACCGGTAATAATCGGACCAGTATTGGGCGTCCCCATGCTAAAGAGATTTTGTCGTACTATACATGGTAAAGTTTAAATAGTAGAGTCTCGATGCAGATTATTATGGATTCAGCACTACTGCGTCTGTTCAACCGGGGAAGGAACCCGCTCGCCATGTAAAAGAATGTCAAAACGAAATAGCAGCATAATGCTGCTGTATTACATATGAGCAGTGATGAGAACTGGAGTATAGTATACAGAGGGTATTTACTAGTAACTGGGCATTGCATCTAAGTCTTCATAGTTGACAAGGAAGGAATCTGCATTTGATTCATAATCGAGGATAGAAGAAATTTTCACGTAACAAGCACATTAGGTAAACTGTGTGCGCTCGTTTATTATGTATCTTTACTTCTATTAAAAATAATTAGCGATAAAACTACCAATTATCGCGTATATATCGCGTCAATATTATACTAATTTCACTTTTTTTAATTAGGGTGATAAATGAGCACACAGTCCATCTGATGGTAAGTGTATGCTGTGGTACATAGACAATCAAAATACAGATACATGGTTCACCCCTGAGGACCAAGATGGAATGCCTAGTTGTACTACTAGATAGCGTTGTCACCTTATTAGGATAGGAAAGGAAAGAGGAAGGGGCGATAATTTTTTTAGAATGCAATAACATGGCGTATGAATACATCATAGAAGTGATTCTAAGGCACTGTTTTAATAATGTAACAATATTTTGTTAATAAAGAATGGCACCCGATAGTAATAATCTATTGTCAATTTTTTTGTTCCAGGCCTTTTCTTCCGCCGAAGGCGTCCCTCCAGCTGAGGCCTGTGCACTGGTTGATGGATTAAAAACGGCTCTGCGAACAAGAGCGCACAGCTTTGTACTTCGTTTCATCCAACAGGGCGGTCTCACATCCTTACTGGAGGCTCTGCAAAGAGCCCCGAGGGATGATGCTGTCACCAGACACAATCTCATTGCCGCCATAAAGGCTCTGATGAACAACTCCGTAAGTACTGTATTTACTTCGCATTTCATATTTGAGGCTGAATCTTTTGTTCACTCTTTTTTATATTTCACTGTGATATTCGTTGAAGGTTGTATTTACACCAACGTTTAAAATATTTGCAAAAGTAAATACTATGCTGAGGTAATTAATTGTATTTATAGTTACCGTTACCGCCCATCAAAGCCAACTGCTAAACATAGGCCTCCTCTATACATATTTACGTGGTAGAGCCATGCTGGAGCTATTTTTATGGTTTCAGCACGAATGGGTCGGCTCGGCCGGGGTAGGACCACGTTCTCACAGAATACCAACGTAAAATAGCAGCTTAATACTGCTGAGTTTTATATGGTGAGTGTAAAGAACTGGATACCCTTTTTACTGGAAACGGGACATTCAGTCTCAGTCTTCAGGGGCGATAAAGCATCTGCATTTTGATTCTTAATTGAGGATGCATGTAGATGTCTATGGGCCACAGCATCCACTTACCATCAGGTGGGCTGTGTGCTTGCTTGTCACCCTTATTCTATTAAAAAAATAAATAAATGTATAGTCTTGGCTAAATAAAAAAATATATATAGCCTAAGTTTTGGCGGGTTGGTAACAACAGTTATATTTTTATTTTTTAGCTGTTATCAGAAACAGTGTTGCCCACCTTCTCGTTTGTTTCCCTCTGTCGCCATCCAGGGAATGATACGGGATATTGGGTATTCCTACGCTGCCACTACACAGCGCTCAATTTATTACTTTTCATACGGGGACTCTCAATCGTTTAATCGGTAAAGATGGACATTGTGCGTAAAGTTTGTAAATGATGGATATATTATAATGATAATTTCTGTCAGATGGAATTTCAGTTACGGCGGCCAGTGTTAACGGAGACTAGCCATGTGCACAGGACAAGGTTGTGCACAAGTGTGCACGCAAGCACAAGTGCGTTCTCTCTTTCCTCACTCTCATAGTCCGGCAGGACGATTATCCACTAAGAAGGGAGAGATCAGGCGCAAGACTAATTACTGCATTTACGTGGTTTCCGAGGCCATGCGCTGAAACACCGCCAACTTCCTAACTCCAGGCTCCTACTGAGAATTTCTTGAAAACCCCAATAACTGATTTTGTCCCAACCTGGGATTCGACCCTGGGACCACATAATCAGCAGTCGCGCATTCTACCAACTTTTACTAAGTAAAACCAGAAAAGTTCTTTTTTGAACTTTTAAAATATATTTTCCAAAACATCCCTTGCAAATTATGCACATTGCTATTGTATTCCAGACCGGCCGAGCACACGTGTTGGCACACCCTACAAGCATCGACCTGATAGCTCAATCTTTGGACACGGAGAATGTGAAGACCAAAGTTGCAGCCCTCGAGATATTGGGCGCTGTTTGTCTTGTACCCGGGGGACATAAAAAGGTGAGCAGGGAAATTAAATTTTCTGTTAACCCCCATTTTATTTGTTAAGCAGTCGATTTTTTTTAAATTTTCGTGTTGTATAAACCGTTAGTAGTCATACCATAGTGGTAAACATTTACAGGATATTTTTATATTAATATGTTAAAATTATATATCTAAAAATTTGTTTGTTCTAATTATGTGCAAGTTAATTGCAATGTACTATTTTTTATAAGTTAGTTCGTAACATGATATTTAGTTATAACGCCTGCGCTATTTTATTAGCAATATATACAATTGAAAAAACAACTACACTTTCATTTAAACTGATTGCATGTATTAATATCTTTATTCAATATCTTTTTCAATAACTAGTATTATTATGAGTAAAGTGGTAAAATAACAGGCACAAAGTAATGCGATTCAAATAAGAATAGGAACGTCAATGATCTCGAATGACCGCAGTCTGTCAACTGTCACTCGAAAAGTACAGCTTGCAAAGAAAATTAATTTTCCACTTTAATATTTATTTCAGTCATAGTATTATTACCAAAATCTTTTGAAGTCATAAAAACAATTTAAAACTGTTCTTTTTCTCTATTTTCATTGTTGGTAACATTTCACCAAAAGGTAAATAAATAAATAAAATAATGAATGATTTATTGAAGTGCTAGATTCTGATTAAAACTTTTTTCATGGTTCTTTTGTATTTATTTGTAAATAATTATTACTTACTACTGTATTGCTCACCCTACCAGTGGTTTGAATTGACAGCTATGACGTCACAATATGGCGCCAGGTCAGCACTATTCTTCTTTGAATCGCATTTGACGTCAATAACATCGACGGACCACACATGACCTCGAAAAATCTAATACAATTACTAAAAACCCCCCAACTAGTTCATTTTGCTTGAATAAAATAATAAAAATGAAGTGAAATATTAAAATAAAATAAAAATAACCTCCGTAAAGTAGTTTTAATCAGTATAATTTTTAGTTTAGATTTTTTATGTTTGTGTGTTAATCGAATGACATACTTTTTCATAACCTTATTCAACTTAAACGAAACATTTGTTAGATAGAAAAACATCGAGGGATAGGGTCTTTTTTCTGACTAGATCATCATACGGTTATCATGACCAATACTTTTGAAATATCTTTCTACTTTACGTGGGATGAATCCCATAGTAGACTATTTATGTCCATATGAGAAGTAGAGTAAGAATTATACGAATAAGCTAGAAAATAAGTGTTTTGATAGCGTTTTTTTTTGATTAAGAAATGAAAGAATAGTGTTACCTAAGACTACTACGACTGAAACTTTTTTCAGGTGTTGGAAGCAATGGTCCACTATCAAAAATATGCGGGTGAGCGTGCCCGTTTCCAGGGCATCGTTAACGAACTGGACCGTAGCACGGGCGCATACCGGGACGACTTAGGACTCAAGACCGCCATATTGTCATTCGTCAATGCAGTGTTGAATTACGGCCCTGGCGAGGATAGTCTTGAGTTCCGTCTGCATTTGCGATACGAGCTGCTTATGTTGGGAATACAGCCTGGTAAGAAATTATGGTGACTTTTTTGAAACGCTGATAGGTCGTTCTAGTCATTTTAAGAGGTACAAATAGATTGGTTTTCTTAACCTCTATTTATCAATTTTCAACAATAAAAAAAAAAACACTAAGCAGAACAAAGTACACAGAAAAAAAAAATTCCTATAAAAAAAAAGTTTAGTTAGATATTTGAGAAGTATTTAAAACTGTTACAAATTTAACGTTATTTTGTAAATCTGGTTTTTGTAAATTTAGTAAGTCGTGTTAGATTTTAAATGTTTGTTGTTAATACGTAGACTTCAAGGTAATGAATTCCATAAAGATTGTTGAACAATAAATAAAAAAGATTTTAACTCATAGTATGTTTAATAAAACAGTTCTGAAGATATTGTTTTGTCGGATTTGTTTAAAGCGTTTTACTATGGAAATACTAAGTTTTATTAATGATCCTAACTACTTACGCGATTTCAAAGCCACATGAGACCTTATATATTTTTCCTTAACAAACTAATTGCGTAAGTTCCTAAGAATGGCATCACTTCTTTCAGTTCTGTAGCGAAATGTACGAGCTTACTAAAGGATAAGTCCCTGGTCCACTTCTATTTTTTTAAAATGAATAATACATAATAAGCACCCTGTACTTATTATGTATCAAGCTTTACTTTAATCTCATCGCATAAGCGTAACATCTAGTACGGAAAGGCTGGAATTAAGACGAGCTTATGCTTTTGCTGTTGCGCAGTTGACATTATCTGATAATTTGGAAGTTGTGCTCGTGGTCGATCGGCCAGTTATTTGCTATTAATATTAATCCAAAATATCCTTTTCAGTTATCGAAAAGCTGCGCAAATACGAAAATGAGACCCTCGACCGTCACATCGAATTCTTCGAGATGGTGCGCAACGAGGACGAGCGCGAGCTGGCGCGGCGCTTCGACAAGCAGCACGTGGACAGCAAGAGCGCGGCCGCCATGTTCGAGCTGCTGCGCCGCAAGCTCACGCACACCGCCGCCTACCCGCACCTGCTGTCGCTGCTGCAGCACATGCTGCTGCTTCCGCGTATGTTTTTGTCATTGTCCCTTCTCTCCTTCTCACTTGTTATTGCTTTATTATTCGGGCGAAAGAGTTCTATGAACAGTACTAGACTGGCAATTCAGACAAAAACTGTGGGGCACATTAGGCAGATAGCTGGTAAAAATACCATGCAGTTGTATTTTTCATTCGCGATAGTTAATGTTTTTGATAAAACTTACTAAACTTTGAAAAAAAAAACGTTGACAGAGTGTGCAAATAAGTAATGATAGCGTTTCACTAGTCAAATTATATAGAATTAGTTGTTGATTGTCAAAATCAACGTTCGCGGTTTAACTTCTCCAATCGACTAAAGAAGTTTTGAAGAATTGACCGTAACTTAGCATAATTTGATTATTATCGTAGTGCCCGGCTAGTAGTATACATAATAAGTTTTGGTCTGGGCTGATAAAAAAAGTTTGTAGAAAGGATGTGCATTAATTGTCATGCATTGGTAGGCGGATTGACAATCACAGTACTAGACGTGAGCTCTTCTCTCTAGACGTCTAGATCTATTCTTCCTTTAGTATTATAAATAATTTCTTTTTCTTATTAAACGTTTAGACACTTTTGTGTGAAATACTGGCAAGAAAATTGTTAAATTAGGGACGATTTTATTTATAATTTATGTAAAACTACGCTTATAGTGAATTCTATTTTATAAAAAAGTTATCAAAATTGAGAACCTCCTTCTGTTTTTGTCTTGAGAAAAGTTTATGAAGTCAGTGTAATTGGGTGTGCGTGTGTGTGCAGTGGAGTACAGCCCGCACTCGCAACACTGGCTGCTGCTGGACCGCGTGGCGCAGCAGCTCGTGCTGCAGCAGGCCGCGCCCACCAGCCGCGCCGCCAGCGACCGCGGCAGCCTCAGCGACGAGCAAGCCGACTCGCACACCCTGTACCCCACAGCAGCCGACTCGCACAAGGTACCGCAACCCTACGTACGAGTAGGTGTAAGTGTGCAGTGCATTACGCTTGAGGACCGCGGCGACTTCAGCGACAAGCAAGCCGACTCGCACAAGGTATCGCAACCCTACGTACGAGTAGATGTAAGTGTGCAGTGCAGTACGCTGGCGGTTGCTGGACCGCGTGGCGAATCAGCTCGTGCTGCAGCAGGCCACGCCCGCCAGCCGCGCCGCCAGCGTCCGCGGCAGCCTCAGCGACGAGCAAGCCGACTCGCACAAGGTACCGCAACCCTACGTACGAGTAGGTGTAAGTGTGCAGTACAGTAAGCTGGCTGCTGCTTGACCACGTGGCGCAGCAGCTCGTGCTGCAGCAGACCGCGCCAGTCAGCTGCGCCGCCAGCGACCACGGCAGCCTCAGCGACGAGCAAGCCGACTCGCACAAGGTACCGCAACCCTACGTACGAGTAGGTGTAAGTGTGCAGTGCAGTACGCTGGCTGCTACTTGACCGCGTGGCGCAGCAGCTCTTGTTGCAGCAGGCCGCGCCAGTCAGCTGCGCCGCCAGTGACCGCGGCAGCCTCAGCGACGAGCAAGCCGACTCGCACAAGGTACCGCAACCCTACGTACGAGTAGGTGTAAGTGTGCAGTCCAGTACGCTGGCTGCTGCTGGACCGCGTGGTGCAGCAGCACGTGCTGCAGCAGGCCGCGCCCGCCAGCCGTATCGCCAGCGACCGCGGCAGCCTCAGCGACGAGCAAGCCGACTCGCATAAGGTACCGCAACCCTACGTACGAGTACGTGTACGTGTGCAGTGCAGTACAGCCCGCACTCGCAGCACTGGCTGCTGCTGGACCGCGTGGAGCAGCAGCTCGTGCTGCAGTAGGCCGCGCCCACCAACGACGTACGTACAACGCTACTGCCTCTTGGGTGATGCTCGGGAGCTGAGTAATTATCGTTACAGCCCATTAAAGTCCACTGCTAAACATAGTCCTTCCTCATAGATTGCCACATAGGGGGATATTTCCCATAGTTGCAACGGTTGGCAGGCGAGTTGGCAACCACAGTTTTTTATTATTAGTTGTTATTAAGAAGACGCTGCTGCCCATGTCTTGATTGGTTTCCCTCGGTCGCCTCTTATGAAATGGTAAGTGACTGACCCATGGGATCATATGTGGTAGTGGGTATTCCTACACCGCCTCTACATAGTACACACCGCCACTGCACAGTACAGTAGGAGCCGAGTGTTCACTGTAAATTTAAATGTACACGACATAACCGAATTCGATCCTCATCAGCACCAGGTATCTTTCAAGTAAACCAGAGAGCAATCGGAGTAAGCTTTAGAACTTTAGAAGCTTCTCAGATCGCACATCACGACAGAATTTGCGATACTATTCAAACCATCTGGATGATTGGCGGCCTTCTGCTGTTTGATTTTCTAAAAGTTTTCTTTCTCGTACAACTTCTTTGTAAAATCGGCTACCCCAGCGATTTTTCCAGATATATAAAACTTTACGAAAATAGGGAACTTCACAAAAAGAGCACACTTTTTTAAAGTAATTAAAATAAAACGGATTGATAATTCATTAATATATATTTTCTTATAGGTCTATGATCCCGACATTGCCCCTCTGGAAATCAACGTGGGTGAAATCGTTCATCTCTTGGCGAAGGAAGAGGAACTTGTTGCTGCGCGAACAAAAGCAGAAAACCTGGAGAGGGAGAATGTTGATTTGGCGACCGAGTTGGCTAAAAAGGTATGTAGTATTGCAACTGAATATTAAAACTTTAAACAGTGTTGGATAGTAACCCTGGCAAGGTGGTTAATTATTAAATATTTAATTGAAATGATTATGAGACTTCAAAATCAAAAGATTAATAAAAAAATTAACATTTATTTTAAATATTTGGTTGTGGTCATTACTGATAAAAAGCATTCACTGTTTCATTCTCATTACGTGCTTCACTAATATAAATAACAGTGTCAGAAATTTGCATTAACTCGGAGGATTAAAATTATCTTAAAATTTAATTGAAATTGATTTTTGATTTTAAGGGGATATAGTAAGTCAGCTGAAATTCTAATTTCGCCCCCACTTCCCCGCGCGTCGTATGCTATGTACCGACATGTTTGTAATCACTAATACTGTAAGTAGATATGTCGTTAGATACTTATTTCATTAGGTTTATCATATTTATGCCTGTTTCTTAACGCCAACCCAGTCACTTCTTATTTTTATTACGGTTATTTGCCATTTTAATTTTACGTCGTCCTTTTGCGTAATGTGTATTCTGACCGTAAACGACACAACTTCCCCGTTGAAAAGCCGAAGCGATACTAACCGGGCGGCAGGAAACAAGCTTCAAGACTTATATAGATTATATAGATAGTTTAGGTAATTTCTTTTTACAGTGAAAATAATGGTATCTTAAAAAAAGTAAATAACTTAAGCCCTGCTTTATAGTTAGTTCATTTAGTATGCAAAGTTTCATGATCTTATTTAAAGTATTTTATGAATAACAGCGGTTTATTGTTCAGTTTGGATTTTTTTTTCTATCGAGAAAATTTTACGGAATCGTGTTTTCGTCTAAGATAGTACTTAACATTAATCCTCAACTTTACCATATATTTATTTCAAAATTAATGCTGCAATATTTTCGGCATAACGGAGGATCTTTTTAAGCAATTTGAGGTTATATTTCTTCTTAAGATTTAAATTGTATAAGAAATGTATGTAAAGTTATTGTAAAATTTGCTGCCTCCCATATTGCCTTTACTCCTCTCTAGTGAGTAGCAGCCCTACACTTTGTTTACAGGTAGAAGGCTGCTACTTGAGAACTATTCTTCCCCATCGGTAGTCAGTTCTTTTCTTTCTTTTTAATAGAAGTGAAATTTGAATTATATTCTTGCGATCTGATCACGAAATAATCGAAGCCATTACTATGTAACATACAAGGGTTTCCTAGTTTTGTGCCAACAGAAATATTTTTCTACACAAAAGTGTAACCCGAAATTAACAACATTGGCAGTTGTCACATTTAACAATCCTGCACTTGTAACTTTGTCAATTTAGAGACTTAATGACAGTTGTCACGGCAAACGACACGTTTAGTGACGTCATGCCTTCATGAATATCAAAGTTACACGTAAAGGAACTGACCCTTCTGCATCCCCATGCGCACGTAATAACGCTTACCAACAGGAGAAGCAACTGGACGAGCAGACTCAAGAGAGGGAAGAGTTGGAGGGAGTCGTCAACAGACTGAAGGAAAGGCTGGAGAGGGAGACGGCCACACACATGGAATGCAAGGAGAGGGCGCATCAGCTGGAGCAACAGGTAACCGAGGGAATGTGGAACGCTGAGAAGAAAAGCTACGAGGTGGGCGGCTTGTTTTTTAATCAGGGTTTTCTGGTATACACACTTAAGTCTCTAAAATATTGAATTAGAATATTACAAAACGAATTCCAAATTTGACTCGGATAATATAGGAGTGAAAATGAAAGGGTCCTAAGGTAGGGTCATCGAGACAAAATAAAACATGTAAACACATATTAGGTTCTAAATGCGAGCGATTATTATTTCCGTTCACTTTTGAAAGCGCTGTATCTAGGTGTCTCATAGTACGGTTAGCATCTACGCTTGCATTTTGTGATTTCACTAGTTTTTTTTTTGCGCCCGAAGCAAATAAGTGCAACCCCCGGTAACGGGGGAGGGAGGTGGTGAATGCTCATAGCATACCACGTAGCCTTATGTGGAGACTTTTACCCACTAAAGACGACGTGGTTATGTGGAGACTTTTACCGACGAAACATAAATTATTTCGAGAACATGATCTGAAGTTAGTCAATACGCATTGGAGCCGTTAATGCGACGTACTTATTGCTCCATAGTGTTTTAGGATCATGAACGAGAATTAGACCATTAGTATAAATCGTTTTAATTTTATAAACAATTAGATTTTGTTTATAAAAAAAAATAAAAATTACCTGAAAGTTTAAAACAATATTTATCACGTATCGTTGGTTTTATTATCTTAAAAGTTAAAACACGGTCCGAACTAATTTTTACACGATCGCGTTGCTTATTTGACAGGCTATTAACTTAAGTCGTGAATTCTGGGTGTAGTCCCAATCACATTAGCTTGCTAATTATAGATTTTTCTGTTTGATTACCCGGTACAACCTATATTTTTGTGAAAGTACAAAGTTGGTTCTACATTCTATGAGTAGCACGCATGATTTATCAGTACAAAAGTCTACTTCTAAACATAGGCCTTCTTTAAAAAATGCCTTATTGGAAGATATTTGCCGTTATTTACCACACTCGACAGGCGTATGTGCAACCGCCGTTTTTATTGTTATTTTGAGATAACATCAGGAAGCTGCTGTTGCCCATCTCCAGTCACTCTATAAATACGTGACTTCAACATTGTATTTGACGTACGAGTGTTTCTGTGTTTACGTTAATGTATACAGCACCCTAAAGTATTGTACGTAGCTGACAATTAAAACTAAGTTATTGATGTCATCTGCGTAATTCGATGTTAGTGGGGTATTGTAATTTTAATCCGTATTGCTATTTCACGATTTCTTCTCTGATATAAAGAAAAATAACTAAATTCACTAGACTTAGGGTTTTTGACTTAGGGATCTGAGTAATAGAGAGGTAGAAAAGATTTATTTCAATTTGCAGCTGAGTCACGAGAGGGCTGAAAGATCCAGGTTCGAGAAACTAGTCAGTGAGGGCAGTATACCGGATGATGCCAAGGTCAGAACTTGATATTTATCCACATGATTTTACGCTTTTATTTCGTAATGTATTACTTATCTGTTTCCCTTTCTGAATGCAAATTATTGTTTCATTTTTTATATAGTTAAGGGTGACCAATCGAGTTTAGAGTCAACTTATTAGAAGTGTATTGTGTAGCTGGGATTTGGTATACAAATTATTTGTACAGTACAATCTGTATTTGTTCATTTTGACATCTTTTCAATAACAACTCATTAATAATATCAAATGCGGTTGCTAAATGGCAAATATCCCCCCTCCCCCATGAAAACACCATGAGAAGTTTTAGAAACTAACTGTAACTATTTAAACGATATTGATTAAGATATTACATAACATACACTTAAAACCATATTGTCGGATTGTGCCTGATCTCTCCCTGGTAGTGTCCGTCCCATCTGACTATGAGAGTAAAGGAATAGAGAGTGTACCTGTGCTTGCATACACACTCGGGCACTATAATCCTGCTCTACGCAGATGGCAGGTCTCCGTTAAAACAGACAAACAGATCGAATTTCGGTCTGAAGGACATATTAGTACCTTCACCTTCTAAGGCCCCACCAACTTTGCGGTATAAAAGCCGAATCTCGAGAGATGTATGCGGTACTTGTTTAGTTCAGCGCACCCTGGAATGAGTTATTTACCGACATGACCGGATATTCAGGCGTAAGACCAACGGTTTTTGAGGCGGGGTGAAACATCGCCAACTTCCTGACTCCTGGCTGTTACTGAGAATTTCTTGATAGAAAAACCCAGTAATTGATTTTTGCCCCGATTTTGGGATACGAATCCAGAACCTCATGATCAGCAATCTCTGGACCAACGAGGCAGTAAATATCCTTATATGCTGCACCGCACTCACACATATTTGATTCACTTTCATATTAAAGGTTGACCTTGAAGTTTGGAGGAATTGCTCTTCATTATATTAGTGCCATTGCAGGTGAGCAACTTGAAGAGTGCGGTCATAGAGTGGTGCGGCGCGCCGCCACCGCCACCGCCTCCGAGTTGTCGTGCCGCGCCTCCCCCACCCGCACCCCCCGCGCCTCCCCCACCCGCAGCCCCCGTGCCCGCCCCTCCACCAACACCTCGCCCCAAGAAAAACGTCCCCACGCCCGGGAACCCCCTCAAGAGCTTCAACTGGAGCAAGCTGCCCGACGCTAAGCTGCACGGCACCATATGGCAGGAGCTCGACGACACGCGCCTTTACTCGGCCATCGATTTGCACACGATCGACAGGATGTTCTGCGCGTATCAGAAGAACGGCGTTCATGTAAGTTATGTTTGTATAATACCTCTCAGCCATTTATATAGAGTAAAAGCACACTCATTTATTGATATTATGGTGCACTTTAATTAAAAACAATTACGCAATAACACAGGTGATTAAACGATGAATGTAAAACATCTCAAAAACAAAAAGTTAATTTTAAATACAACCAATAACTTACTCTAGTTAAATTTGAAAATTCCCTGTAGTCAGAAGTGAAGTGAAGTAGCACACTTGAAATTTTATTCTACGAGGGCGGCACTGAAAATTTCGGGAATCAAGGAAGTTTTTTTTTTTTTTTTTATAGAAGAGGGGGGCAAACGAGCATGTGGCTCACCCGATGTTAAGTGACTACCGCCGCCCATGATTAACCGCAACACCAGGGGAATTGCAGGTGCGTTGCCGGCCCTTTAGAAAGGAGTAAGCTCTTTTCTTGAAGGTCCCCAGGTCGTATCGGTCCGGAAAAATCACCGGTGGTAAATTATTCCACACAGAGGTTGTACGCGGAAGAAAACTCCTTTTGAAACGTACAGTGGTGGACCGCCAAGCATCCAGATGGTGTGGATGGTATCGGGACGTTTGCCGTGTAGTGCGTTCACGAAATTTGGCGGCTGGGATTAATCCGAACAATTCCTCAGAGCACTCCCCGTGATAGATGCGATAAAATACGCAAAGAGATGCAACATCTCTTCGCAGCGCCAGTGAATCGAGCCGATCGGAAAGCACTCGGTCGTCGACGATTCGAGCCGCTCTGCGCTGGATGCGGTCAAGTGGAAGGAGCTGGTACTGGGGAGCCCCAGCCCAGAGATGAGAACAGTATTCCATGAGCGGCCGAACCTGCGCCTTGTAAAGTTGCAGGCGGTGTGCCGGCATGAAATACTGTCCCGCTCTGCTGAGCACGCCAAGCTTTTTAGAGGCCAATTTGGCCTTCCCTTCCAAGTGACCACGAAACTGCACGTCACTCGATACGTCGACGCCGAGGATTCCGATACTGGCTGAGGCAACAAGGGGAGTGCCTTGAAACTGAGGGGATACGACGAAGGGGTTCTTTTTAGCGGTTAACGCGCAAACTTGTGTCTTCTGGGGGTTAAACTGGACTAGATTTAGTCGCCCCCAATCCAAGACTCTGTCCAGCAGAGACTCGACTTCAGACACAAGTTTGTCCCGGCACTCAGAGACGTTTTCCCGAGAAATATTGGCTCGGCCGGTGTAAAGAGCATCACCAGTGCTGTCATCTGCATAGCAATGAATGCTACGGGTTTGCAACATATCATTGATATGCAGAAGAAACAGCGTTGGCGATAGCACGCAGCCCTGTGGAACACCAGCATTAATAAGCTTGCAATCGGAGCTTGCACCGTCTACAACGACCTTGATGCTCCGATCCGCAAGAAAACTGGTGATCCAAGTGACACAATATTACTATTTAAAAATGTATTTATTGCTTTTCGATGTATTCTCCGCGAAATATGACACATTTTTCCATACGATGGAACCAATCATTGAAGCAACCATTCCATTCGGAAGTTGGGGTCTCCAAAATGGCCTGTACGTCCACAGCTTCTTCAGGTGATGAAAATCTTTGTCCACACAATTTATTCTTTATTTTAGGGAAAGTATAGAAATCATTAGGGCTTAGGTCGGGGCTGTACGACGGATGGTCTAATAATTCTATGTTTTCTTGCTCTAAAAACTCTTTTTGTTCTGTGTGCGGTGTGAGAACTCGCATTGTCGTGATGGGGGATGATGCGGCGGTTGCAGTTCTCTTTACAGAGTTCAGAAACGACCTGTGGCAAACAAATGCTAGCATACCATTCAGCATTAACCGTTCTTTGTCCCTCAAGAGGAATAGTCGTAACATGGCCGGTTTTGGAGACAAACGTGGCCACCATTTTTTTTGCAACACTCCGTGAACGAGCAATTTTTGTTGGCTTTAACTCATTTTCGAACACCCAAACTCGTGTCTGGGTTTTTTTTCGGGTTCGTACGCATATATCCAGGATTCGTCACCTGATACGATGCTTGAGGATCCTGCGTGGAATCTTTGGAGAGTTCTGACGCACTAAGTAACGCGAGCCGCTTTTTGCTCTTCACAGAGCGAATGCGGTATCCATCGGGAAAACAACTTTTTTACACCTAATTGTTCACACAAGATTATTTGTATTTGACTCATGCCAATGTCTAAAGTTGCTTGAATTTCGCGGTATGTCACATGTCGATCTTTCTTAATCAGCTACGCACAGCATCAACCGTTTTCTTGGGTGACTGCAGTTTTTGGACGACCTTGACGGGGATCATCCTGAGCTTGACACGTCCACGTTGAAATTCAGCAAACCAGCGATAAATTGTAGTTTTGGATGGGGCTTCATCACCAAATGCAGAAATATGGTCAACACACTGTTTTTGTGTTAAACCACTTCGAAAGTCATAATTAATCATCGCTCTTGAATTTTCTCGAGTCAATTCCATTTTCTCAACGACTAAACAAGTTTGACAAAACCTTGCGACAAGACCGAGAATCTTTTTTTTAAATAAATAAATGGTACTCGGTTTTTAAAACCAAGGAGTTTTCAATTAAAGAGATTTTAATTTGACAGGAACAGTGGAAATATTCCATTTCCGATACTTTTAGTGCAGCCTAGGTACTGTGTAAATTTTATGCTCATATTTTTATAGTGTATATTAAATTACACCAATCATAGTTTGATACATTTGTATTGCTTAAAAAAGATTATGAAACAAAAAAATTATCTGTATGCTGTGCTACCTTCACCGTGACATAATGAGGCGATTTGATTTTCGCCTTTTTGGCGCTGATAGCAGTAGTGAGCGTCCACGAAACTAATAATAGAGACTGGACAGTATGACGAGAGATATCAATAAAAAAATATACCCAGGCCTACACATAGCGTCCATTCTATTTATGTATCATTTTAATATAATGTTATACAATATATAAATGTATCAATTAATACTTGTAAGACACAAGCTTTATAAAACAAAAATCTACACCGCGTTAGTCTATGTTTTTCTTCGTAACTATAGAACGGGTTTAGTTCCTGGTTTCACGATTGGGAATGTATGGTTCATACGAGAGCTTGAAAAAGTTCCAATGAGTAGGAAAAACTGGAGTAGGTAACTACAAAATAAAGCAAAAATTTAATTTTTAATTATCAAATTGTTTTAAAGTTTTAATTTTTTATATAAACTGTAAATCTCTTTACTTGTGTTATGTTGCCACACTTCCTTTCTGGTAACGAGTTTTACAAATAGATACCATTATTGTTACTAAAATGATTTTTATTAAATTACTAACATGAAATTTAACGAAACTACACAACATACGCTCATTTTCTCGTTTAAAACTTTCAATAATTTTAGAAGTTTTGCGCAACACAACGGCCATTTGCAAATTATCTCAAATTAAGTTCTCAGTACACTCGATGGCGGCGATTCAAATCAACACAAAAGTTTTGTAGGTTATAGTCAGTCCAGCGTACTAGTATATATGGCGGTCAGTAATTAATAAGAAAATTCTGACGTTTTTAAAGAACTGAAAATGTAATAAAATAAAAAATGAGTAAGCTTTATATCCAACCAAGTAAAGAATGACTGGGTTACGTGACCTAAAGTGGGTCGTGTGCTTTCTAAATGACGTCAATATTGTTTATGTACGGTAATATATTTGCTCTGAAGTAGAAACAAATAATTCAAAAGTATACCACGCATAAATTAGAAAAAATGTGACCAAGTTCAATGAAAATTCCTTATACCGTACATTTGTAACCTCTGTTCCTGTTTAATAAAATAATCTTAAGTTATAAGGTTCTTTGTTCTTTTTTGTAAAGTATAAAAAACTTCATCCCCCCCTTCTTACGGGTGAGTTCTGAATATCGACAACAGCGCCACCAACCAAGTTCAGTTGTGGATTTTAACCATCCATGGACCCGTTCAAACACACACGCAAAATTTCATAGTAAATCACATATTATTATAAAAAAATATATTTATTTCAGAATGATGGTTCAGTTGAAGATCTAAGGCAAACGGGTTCGAAACCTAGAACTAAAATCCTTACCGTGATCGACGGTCGACGTGCTCAAAACTGTACGATACTACTATCCAAGCTTAAGATGACTGACGAAGAAATTTGTCGGTAAGTTGCTTACTATACACAAACCTCAGACCATCAATAAAAGTTAGACGAAGCGCTGCGTATATTTCAAATGACGGTAAAACCAAGCCAAAACCATGCTTAACTTACAATACAATACAGTACCCTTTATTGTATACTAAGAAGACATATCATAACAAGAAACATAGAGAGAAAAGAAACAATGGTCTTTTATTGCTATAAGACAATTGCTTCCAGACTAAGGTACGTGAGGGTAATATGGTCATCTTAAGCTTTGCCACCCTGTAAAACCAAATCGAGTAGGAGGACAGAGACAAAAACATAAAGTTGTATACTATAACTAGCATATTAAGAAAAAAAAAAACTAACAAGATTTGGCAATAATATGGAACACTTCGAAAAATCGACTTAAAAAAGCTAACTATACTACACCATACTAAAATCAACTAAAATATTTTTTTATAGGATCGGGTGACAAACGACCACACAACACAATCCACCTGATGGTAAGTGGTTGCTGTGGCCCATCTACATCTATCCTCGTTTACGAATCAAAACGCAGATGCGTTGTCACCCCTGAGGACTCAGATGGAATGCCTCGTTTACAGTAAAAAAGGGTCCTCGGATCTCTACACTCACCATACGAAACACAGGAGTATTAAGCTGCTAGTTTACGCTGGTGTTCTGTGTGAGCGAGATTCTGCCCCGATCGAGCCGACCCATTCGTGTATACTACTAATATAACTGCAACATGGCTCTACCACTTATGAACTATTATGAATACTATACTGTCAACTGTCAAAATGGCGTCGAAAAAGCAGCGCCCTTTTGAGCTCTTATTATTTCATTAACTGGTCAAGAGCTATCGTATCACAAAGCCATCTATGCAAACAAGACTGTTATTTTTGGGTTGTTAGAAAGTGACCATATTAACTGTGGATGACCATATTACCCCCACGTGCCTTTTATAAGAATTTGCTTTCACGCACACATACTCGTATCTCGCATGCATCTAAAATAATTTGCAAGCAACAACATTGTTTTAGGTGCACACGTGTGCGCCCAGCAGTGGAATTTAACGGGCTTTTGAAAAAGAAAGTTGAAAGATGAGTACGTCACTGCGTGTCAAGCATGTTTTCGTCGTCACTTGAAATGTGCGCAGTGTTCCGTCAATCTTTGTTAGTCTGAGATACAAACATAGCTTGCATTCGCTGTATATTTGTCGCAGCCAACTAGTTTAATTACCCGTTCAATTAACAGCTTAGCCTTTTTATGTTTAACCAGGGGCCTGAATGAGTTTCAACCGCTGCGTGTATAACTACATTGCAACTATCTTGTAATATCAGTAACAGTAGGTTAGGTTGCGGCTAGCTTATATATTTATATAATATAGCGCATAATTAGGCATGAAATGTTGTATTAGACGCATCGGCTGAAACACATGGAATAAATTCCATGCGTTTCAGCCGATGCGTCCTGAATGAAAAATATCATTCAGGCCGCTCGTTGAACGGCGCTGTTTCACCCTATCGTACGAATTGCCTAATCATTAGCCAGCCAGTTTATTAAATGTTGTAAGAAACGCTACGGCTGAATATCATTTAGGTACCTAGTTGGCTGCGACATATACATAGTGTTGTGTTATTATTGCATATATGATACACTATAAGCGAAAATATGAACCGTGGCAGTTAAAAACTACTTAACACCGTAATAAAAAAAATGCAATACGCTGATTACTCGACCATAGTATCGCAATTCTTTGCAATTTATTAAAAGCTAACAGAACATAATATCGCGAGGAAATGAGCACGTCTGGACAATCAAAAATAATATTTGTATGAATTGCAAAAGCGTGACAGACATTGACTAGCTATTTGCCTTTTAAAAATGAATGAATGAATGAATTTTGTGTCCTGCAGAACATGGTATCGTCACGTCACATAACACTTCGACAGTTTGTTCGAGTGACAACTAATCAACTGTACTGTATTATTGTAGTTAGTTAAGCATATTATACCTACATCACGTATGAGTCGACTCTGTCGGGTGAAATATCAGCTTGATGCTGCTTTGTTTCGCGTCGAGTATTAAAAATAAAGTAAATAAAACGCCATAAAATCCGTAAAAGTAGTTTTAATCAACGTGTAATGTTCGCGTGTATTTCTTGAAAACTTGTAACATTTTTGTTTAAATACCGTTACTGTGATTGAAGCATTTTTATGCTATTGCTTTTTATTACGAAGCATTTTTTTAGTTTAATTTTACTTGGTGTTCACTCTGTTTACTTAGATACGGTAGTTTTTGTACCGCGTTACCTCAGCACGTGCGATTTTGTCAAAGGCGCGACATTAAATTAGTGATGTGAAGCTTTCGGGTGCTTTACAGCACGAATTCGTCAACAGAAATCAAAAGTCACAATTTTATGCGATAAAATCCTTAAGATTAGTTTCATTTAATGTGTAGTGTTCGCGTAAATATAAGAAGTCATTATTGTAAACTTAACGAAATTCTGAAATATTTTCAAGAAGTCAAGGGTAATAAAAAATATTTAATCTATTGATATAAATACAGTTAGACATTACAACCCATAAGTTCAAGGTTCACACAGCAGTATCGGCTAACTTTCTTTTATTAATAGCTTAGGGTATGATCCATTTAGGTATCTAAGATTCATGATTTCTACAAGCTGCAATCCAAGTCTGGCGCCTAAGATCTCTTGGAAATATATAAAATCAAACTAGTAATAGAAAAATGTACTGCTTGTTGTAATACTTTATTATAAAATCTAAACAAAAAATAAATCCTGTTGGTCAGACAAACTCGAATGGTTAATTAACTTATCGATAGCTGAAGTTATAATGTACGTCACTACATTGCAGTACTTTCGGTTGCAGTGATACCAGTTTATTTCATAAAAATTGCATACATTTGCTACGAAATGACAAGGTTCGATTCAACTTATTTGGCCTTTATTTTGTATAATATTTTTATAAATACTAGTTAATGATTGTAATTCTAATGTAATAATATATTCGTAATCGTGTTGAGATTGAGCTGAATATTTAAATTATTTGACAAAATCCACTACACATCTTAATTTAATGATTACTATTCGTCACAAACTGATTTAGTTAAGAAATAAATTCTCGTTAATACAATTATTTTGTGTTGTAAATTATATTTATTTAAAAATAACTTCTTTTCGCTTCATGAACTATGATGGCAACATGGTATTTTACTAAAACATTCAGAAAATACGAGTTTTGATGATAATATTGTGTAAAAAATATTCGCAGGTGAAAAGTCACGTTGTCCTTTTGCAGATTTGACGGTTTTACTGTTTTTTTTTGTATTTGATTCTTAATGTAGAATAGATGCGGATCTATGGGCCACATCATCCACAGTCAGGAAGACTATGTTCTCACTTGGCATCTACTTGTATACTAATGTTCAAGAAATTTTTTTTTTTCGATTAAATCACTAATTATTATTTTTCAGAGCGATCTTGCGTATGGATAAGGACGAACAGCTGCCAATCGATATGGTCGAACAGTTATTGAAATTCACACCGAGCGCTGAGGAAGCGGCGTTGTTGGAAGAACATCAAGACGAGCTGGAAAATATGGCGCGTGCTGACCGTTTCCTTTACGAAATTTCCAAGTGAGTAACACGTTGGGAATGTTATATATGTAACTTTGCACTTAACTGCACTTTTCAGTTCTTGTGTAAGTGCAAATAAGTTAATTTGGAAATAATACATTGATAAAGATACGAGAATACGCATTATATACGTTAGGGCAGATAAAGGCTGTTAAGTGTGTACTTTGATTTAAAAAGGCATGTGATTAATAATTAAATCAATAAAGAGTAGCATGAACAATAGAAGGAAGTTTCAAATGAGCGTGTATTAAAAACTTTTTAAACTATTTAGAAATTCGCTCGTCGATGGAGCTCAATTGCAAATAATAGTTTTTACTTGAACGTTGCTCTTTTCTACTGTTTCAATACTAATAATAAAATGTATTTAACAAAAAAAAATGTTAATAGCATTAAGTTTATATTAAATTCTTATTTTGAATGTAAATTAAACAATAATTAAATGTCATTACTAATTCAACGTAAAATCTACGTCCAAAAGGTAAAAACGTGTGCACTTCACACGCGCTAGAAGTTAAACCTGCAGATAAACATTGTATACCTATAGATGTATATTAGGTTTCTCTTTTTTCTTCTTTCTTTATTGCGAAGTTGTTTTAACAGACCATGTATGTTTAGTAGACTGGTAATAATGGATATTCATATAGATCCAAATTTCTAGTGGGAGTGGCCCTATACTTCGCCTACCGGTACGAGGCTGGCACTCGAGAACCTTTTTTCCCCGTCGGTTGTCGGTTCTTCGAGCTATGTCGGTCACTCTGGTTCTGCTGCGGATGTCCTCATTTCTGGATTTATCACGCAGATAAACCCCGAGCATAGCCCTCTCCATAACTCGCTGAGCGACTTTGAGCGTCCTCATGCGGCCAGCACTGAAGGACCATCTTAGTTCCATAGGTCATCACTGGCAACACGCACTGGTTGTACAGTCTCGTTTTCAGGTTTTGAGGTATAGCTGACGAGAAGATGTGTCGTAATTTCCCGAACGCTGTCCAGGCGAGTTGAATCCGCCGATTGACCTCTCGGTCGAAGTTGGACTTATCTAGTCGGACTATTTGGACTACATGGACGTTACACTTCGTATTGTCCATGTTCCCATGTTCATCTTAAGACTTATCCGTTGGGAGCCACTTTCTAGGTCATTGAGCATAGTACTTAGGTACTCCAGCAATTCTGCCATAAGGAATATGTCGTAAATCGAAGGTGAGTGATGTAATCACCATTGATGTTAATACCGTATCCTTTTCAGTCCAGTAGCTTGAAAATATCTTCCAATGCGGCGGTAAAGAGTTTCGGGGATATATCGTGCTCCTTTCTTATATGCCTCTGCAGTTGGATAGATTTCGTCCTCTGGATCTGTACTCAAATAGCCATCGTAGCCTTACTGTACAAACACTTCAGCACTTATCGAAAGTTACCGACAGTCAACTTGGCACCACTGAAGAGATTGTAGCACCGCCCCAATTTCGACGGAATCAAAGGCTTTCTTACAGTCCACATACGCCAGGCAAAGTGGTAGATTGTACTCTTCGGTCTTTTGTATAATTTGCCGATTTGGTCTCTGGTGCTAAAGCCTTTTTGGAAACCGGCTTGTTCGGTAGGCTGGAAGTCGTCGAGTCTGCTTGTGAGACGATTCGTAATGACTGTCGAAAACAGCACTTAGATGCGGCTCAGAAGGGGTATCGGTCTGTAGTTCTTCAAGAGAGGGTTTCGACTTTCTTGAGGAACAAGATCACCGCACTTTTGTTCCACGCCTCGGGAGTAGTGTCACCATGGAGGACGGAATCCCACCCGCTTTCAGAAGCTCCGCTGTAATTCCATCCTCGCCAGGGGGGACATACCGTTTTTGAGGTGCTGGAGAGTCATTCTTATCTTGCTCAGACTGACGTCCGGAATGTCATCGGAACAGTATCGGATAAGACTTGCTCTTGGATCGTTAGTCACACTTGCGTGTGGCTCCAACGATTATGTGTACAGCTGCCCATAGAACCTCTCAATCTCACTCAAAATCTCAGGTGTCCCGGAAACGATGCTGCCACACTCGATCTTCAGCTTCGACAGTTGGCTTTTTCTAGCCGTCAGATCCCTGGCAAAGACTTTGGAGCCCTGGTTTTGCTCCATCGCTTTTCAAATACGAGCTGTATTGAAGTTGCGTAAGTCCCGCCGCATGCATTTGAAGATCTGTCTGTTCAGTGGCCCGTATGCCGTCAAATCTGCTGAAGACTACAGTTTCATTTCCCGTCTACGAGTCATGAGATGAGGAATGTGATCAGAGAGTTTTTGTGTTCTTCTGCGGCGGGTTTTTTTTAGAACTTAGCTCCGACCGCATGGACAGTTTCCACGAGCTTGTCATTCATATCGTCCACTGTATTGCAGTCTTCTAGGCACTGAAAACGGTTTTGTAATTCGAGCTGAAAGTTTTCGGGACCCTAGATTAGGGCACGAGAGAGACGGAGAGTTGACTTCATTAGACGAGACCTCTCCAACTTAACGTTTAGGTTCAGTGCGCCTCTAATCATTTGGTTATTGCTGCTAGTTTTCACCCTCGCGATCACTGAGAAATTACTGAACAGTTGGCGTCTGGTCGTTATAATGAAGTCAATCTCATTTTTTGTCGAACCATCGGGGCTCAAACAGGTCCATTTCCTGTGGGGCCGCTTCTGGAAGAAAGAGTTCATCATAAAAGAGTCCCTCTTTCTTCATGAAGTCGGCCAGCTGCTGGCCCCTTGCGTTCCGTTGCTCTATCCTAAATTTCCCTACCGAGCTCACCGTTCTTTATTGTGCTTATATTTGCTTTGAAGTCTCCCATCAATACTGTATATTAGGTTTGGAGGTATGCGTAACTCTAGAGATATCCTCATAAATTTCTTCCACCTCCTTATCGGGATGTGCCGAGGTTGGTGCATAAACCTATATGATCTTCAGCGAATACCGTTCGGTGATTCTGAGTATCAGGTACGCGACCCTCGTCGACACACTCCCAATCCTTACAACGTTGTTGACGAGAGACTTGTGGATGATAAATCCGACACGTCCTTGGGACAGATGGTCGCCTGCCTGGTGATACAACAAGTTGCTGGATTCGAGAATTACCATGTCCTCCCCCTCTTCTCGACTCTTCTCTACCTCTTCTTCCAGCTAAAGGATCTTCTTGTCAGTCCTTAGGGTGCGTGCGTTATATGTTGCCAGGTCGAGTCGTCGTAGATGGCAATACAGAACCTCCACTAGAGATTCTTAGCACCCCCTGTCCCGCCGCTACCATGGCTGCCACCGTAGTCAGGAATGGCGAGACCACCGGGGACTGTGGGGTCCATTTGTTTGTGCCGTTGTCTAGCCCCATATAGCTGCTGCTTTATTTTATCCACTACTCATAGATACCAAATATTCATTGTGTTGTTATTCCAACATTTCTCACACTGTCTATTTCTACCCCATTCATTTCATATCTTGAAAGCACGCTTTCTTCTTTCATTGAGATTCAAATCACTATGATGCTAAGAAGTTTTCATTTCAAAAGTGTTGTTTTTGTATTTGCAGAATACCCCACTACTCGGAACGTGTCCGCACGCTGCTATTCAAGAAGAAGTTCGCGGGCGCCGCGGCCGAGGCCACGAGCCGCGCCTCCGTCGTACTGCGCGCCGCGCGTGACATGACGCGCTCGCGCAGGCTGCGCGCCTTACTGGAAATCGTACTGGCCCTGGGGAACTACATGAATCGGTACCTTGCTATACAACCAATTCTCTCATAGTGATACACTGCTTTCAATCAGTTTGCTTTTTAAATAAGCTTTTCTTTAAATTCAATGTTACTGAAACGGCAATACTAATAAAATAGCCAAATAGAGAAAGTGTAGCTCGGAAATTTGTGTAAGAGTTTATGTTTAAAATCAAACTCGGTTTGCTACAAGCGTGAAGCGCTGCTTTGATGTCCGGCGATGCCGCTAGGGGTTGTCACGAAGAAGAGAAATAAAATGATTTTGGATGTTATAATACTCATTATCATTTACTAACATTATGTACATACCAAATATTGTCGTGACACTTTCTTTTTAAAGATGTTTTCAGTTTTCATTTGTTTACTTAAATTTTGTAATATGTTCACATTGGGAAAAAAATTATTACCAAGAAAAAAATAAGAGCAAAATAAGCATGGCTGTAATTTGAATTCAATTTTACTTAGTAACTTATATAAATATAACAGTAATTCACAAGTATAGATATTGTATTTTTCGAAAAGGGCACTTAAAATTAATTAAATAAGTACTATAAAATACGCCCGCGCCAACCGCATGTATTGTCTATCAGAATCAGTGAACTGAGATAGCACAAAGTTAGCCCGCTCCCCGCCAAGCTGTACCCTCACCATTGCTCTGCACAAGTATATTCGTTTCTCAGATGTATGGTTCTTTAAACTGTAATACCTACTATGCCACACGGAGAGCGCTTTTCCATAGACTGAGAAAAATCATTTATGCCTTTTCAATAGAACTCTGGGGATCTGGACACTACAAAATCTATGAATGCCACCGCCGCCAAAATTTATGTATTACTGGTCATATGTATCACTTTGTTTTAAATGATTTTAATTTTTCGAATAAAGTTTCCTTTAAATTCACTGTGACGCACTTGGTCTTGAATGATTTTGGTTTTTTAAATGAAGTTTTCTTTAATTTCACCGGTTATATACATAAGGTTTTCTTTATATTTACCGTAACACACTTGGCTTTGCATTTGGACTATCGGGCTCAGGGGTCCAACGCTCATTTGTATGAACCCTTAAAGAGTTAAGTCTTGTATCCTAAAACATTGGAATTACAAAAGTATTGACAGTCCACATGATATTAAAAAAAACTACTGCTCATTGACACCTGCAACCAACCTCAAACATAAAAGCTGTGATGGTACTGTCGTCACGCCCCAAGTGAAACGAACCCAAACTATCATGTTATCAAAGTTCCGAAGTACTCTGGTACATATAAGATAGCAGTGTACTACCAAATGAAAGGTTGGTTGCTTCTCAGGCTGAACATTGTCCGGCGGGAGATCGACTCTTTTCTCTCCACGGTCAAAAGGCCATAGATGCGTTGTAGTGAACTTTAATAACACTATTTTTCTGGGCTGTATAAAAGGTCAAACCCTCAGGCTTTAAGATGTAACACTTATATGAACACGAAAGTACCAGTCGAGCCATATCGGACGTTACATCAGACTTAGTAACATGAGCATTGCCATGTAAAAGTGAAGTTTGCGATGCAGATAACGTTGCATATTTGCAAGGGCACTGACGAGTTGGTATACATGTACGCGTGTTTTTTTCTATAAAACTTATGTGACAAATGCATTTACAGTCCACCTGATAGTATGTGACTACTGCAGCCCACGGATACCTGCAACCAACTTTCAGAAGGCTACGGAATGCTTTGCTCCGAGGACTAAGTCGGAATACCTTATAACATGTAGTCATACTGGCTCTCTCTATATCCTTCAGTCAGGGACATACTGCTGCACGTACTGCTGCTTGGTGGCGAAAACAGGTAAGAGGGTGACACCTATTTCTAGGATGAGAAGAAGTCCTACTAACTAACATAACACTCACACTTTATATTTTTGGTATCTAGCGGTGCTCGCGGCAATGCGTCCGGCTTCAGATTAACGTCGCTCAACAAACTGGCCGACACCAAGTCCAGTGTAACTCGAAACACAACGCTGCTACATTTTCTAGTCGAGTTGCTGGAGACACAGGTAAATTTAATTTTAAAATACACAAACTTCTATATATATGCCTTCTATAGATGCCTCTTTCGAAATTGTACTAGTTACTTTATACGCTAGGATTTCAAAAAATAATTGCGAAAATTACTTCGTCTGATACTATGTTTTTAAGGGTTGTTATATCCATACAATATTATGACTTTAAGACCTAATGCTAAATACTTCAAACACAATTTCAACGTGATTGTTCACTTGTTGTGATGTAAAGTTTTTGAGAGGTTTTGACGGGAACTTGAGCCAGCAGATCTAGTCGATGACGATAGTATCTCAAGACGCCTATCAAATACATTACCTTGAGATTCACATCAAATTTAGAGCACTTGTTTTAACGTATACACAAAATCGCAACACTTTTCACTTTTGCATTCCCGAAATAATTAACACTCCCCGGGACACGCTTTATAGTGGATAAAATAAATATAGAACTTTCTAGGCCAATCCAGGTCTTTCCACTTTTCGGCCGGAAAGTACTAGAACATTCGTGATAACATAACGATAACAATATCAAAAGTAGAAAAGGCTTTATACACGTAGACAATAAGGGTGCTCTTGCTTGTATTACTAGTCGGAGTGTTATCACAAACGTGTTCATGATAAATATTTTTATTTGAAAACAGTCTCGAAAAATGGGGATTGCAGTAACAGTATACTGGACTGCGTTCTGTTTTAAACAGTAACCAGTATAGTAAGCTAAAAAGGAACGGCTTTACAGTATACTGAATTGAAGTCAGACTTTACAGTGGTCACATTGTACGAGTATAACGGAACATACCCTAGATTGTCGCATACAACGTTTGTGGTTTACAATACAAAGAACTAGTCTTCTCGTCTATTCGCAGTTGATTAAAGAAGTTACGGCAAATTGAGCGTGACTTAGTGCCCAATGCATAAGGCCTGTCTAGTAGTATTTCTAGTATGAATAAAAATATCGGTGTGGTTGTGACGCGGTCAGGACCAGTGTTTAAGGTGATACCTTGAAAATTTGGTGGTTTTTCTAGTTCACATATTATTTTAAGTTTTATAGATTACTAAACAAAATTTTGGTATATGATTTTTGACTATATGATCTTGGATTGCGTAAAACGAAAACACGATATCATGTTATTTTCTCGATAGAAAAAAAATTGCGAAGTAGGCTCTAATTAGTTGCATTTCTCCATACCACAATATTTTTACGAAAATTTCATTGAATTCTTTTTAAGGCATAGTAAATAATGATATCTAAGTTCTCATAAACCATTTTTTAAATCCATAACGGAGTTTTGTTAAACAATAAATAAAAATGTTGTTTGACGTTTACTTAGTTTTTTTCCGAGCGTGTGCTCGGTATAACTGTCTCATAATTTGCGTATTATGAAGTCATTGCATCACTTTCATTTTGACGCTCTCTCAGTCGTTCGTGAGATTCACCGACAAAGGAATAAGCCACGCCCCCAAAACCACAATTAATTTCCAAGGTATCCTCTTAACTTGAATACGTGTACGTAACGAAACGAGATCAAATTGGCGGCGCTCCCTTCTCTACCGTTCACGATGCGTCACAGTCCTCACTCAACTAAGCACATTCTTCGATTCTCGCTATCGAGTAGTGTAATTAAAATTTAAATGTGGTCAATAGACATGTAGATGTAACACCAAACCGTATACCTAAAACTCATGATTGCAAAATTGATTGCATCAGTTTTCTGAATTGCTTCCTAGTACGGAAATATAGTCAAAGTGGTATTCACATCAAAATAGTACGTGGTAGAGTCACTATAGAGCTATATTGTTGTTGATCATTTTAATCAATCGCTCGTTGCGACAACACCGTTTAGTCATTTCTCTTCATTTTTATTTTGCAATTCTAACAAAAGTTTACCATTACTTTCAAATTTAGTACCATTTTAAAGCCAGTGAATCGACTGTTAACACAGTGAAAGCCGTTTTTAAATTTAATTACGCGGTCCGATACAGTGAAGCAAAACATTTTAAAATATTTAGTTACTGGTCGCAACCTTGACCTACCTCACATAAGCGTGCTTAAAACGATCAACTCGTGCCCGTCGTAGCTGTTGTGTGTACGCAAAAAAGGCGATACTTCCAGATTGTTTGCTATTTTTGCCGAGCTAGTTATCTACGACTTTAGACAGTGCTACGAGCTTCCAAAGTACGACACAAATAGTCCCGCCTACTTTGCTACGATACTTCTACGAACCACCGCTGCACTTACTGCGTCACTGACTCGCCGTAGCGAGCTATCAACAGGTTGTTGTTTTTATATTAATATGCCGAAAATCTGCTTGGGTTGCAAGCTTGATATAAAAAGCGATAATTTCTGCAAATGTGCTTACTGCAAACAAACATGTCATGAGCTTTGTGCTAATTTACCACCCAGGAAATCTTCTAGTGAGCCCCCTCCAATTTGGATTTGTCCAAGCTGTATCAGCAAGAGACCCAAGGGCGACAATACGGAAACACCAGTAAGCCATAATCTTAAGAGCACTCAATCATCACCTAATTGGATATCGCAGCGATCACGAGGCAACAGGGTCGGTACTTCTCCAGTCACAAGTGAACAAGAAGCCCCCTTCTCTCTACCCCACTGTCGATGAAATTAGGGACATCATACAGTCAGAACTAAAAAATATTTTAACGAAGGAGTTGACCGTCTTGATTGAGAAAACGATTGCGTCTGAACTTCGAGAAACTGTTTCTGATATTGCATGTTTAAAAAGTGATTTGCTTTCGCTTAAAACTTCTATGGATTTTATAAACTTACAATATGAGGAAATCAAGGTTGATTTGAACAAAAAGTCTGAATCATGTCATCGGTTACAGAAGGAATGTACAGACTTGACCATCGCTAATAGGGAATTATTTGATCGTGTGGCACAAATAGAACAGCACTCTCGTGCCTCGAACTTAGAATTGCAATGTGTGCCTGAACATAAATCAGAAAATCTGATCCTCATGACTAAGCAGCTTGCAAAAGTGGTCTCCTTCGACCTTAAAGAAGAAGATATTCATATGTGCAATAGAATTGCTAAGGCTAATCCTGCCACCACCAGACCTAGATCAATTATTGTCAAGTTACGCAGCCCTCTGATTCGTGATGGATTTTTAGCTTCCGTCATAAAATTCAACAAGAACCACCAATCGGACAAACTTAATTCTAGCCACTTGGGTATCGGAGGTGACAAGAAACCTGTATTCGTGACTGAGCATCCCTCTCCAAGTAACAAAGATCTGCATCGGGCTACCAGACTTAAGGCCAAAGAAAAGAACTACAAGTTCGTTTGGGTAAGAGGTGGCCGCATTTTTGTGAGACAGTCGGAGTCAGCTCCTGTTGTTGTTATTAAGAATTTATCCTCGTTACAATACTTAACCGGTTAGATTTCTTCTCATTTATTCATATCTTGTTTTTTATGTGTACCTGCACAAAATCTGCTGCCTTAAATTGTTATTATCAAAACTGTAGAGGCCTAAATACAAAAATTAATGAATTTTATAGTAACATGTGTACGAATGAGTACGATATTGTTGTAATAACGGAAACTTGGCTACAAAATAACGTCAACGATTTAGAGTTATTTAACGATAATTATGCTGTATATAGACGAGACAGAGACTTGACTAAATCATTTTCAAAGAAGACTGGAGGTGGTGTAATGATTGCCGTCAATAGAAATTTTGACTCACATAGGATTAATAGAAATGAAGGCACTGGACTAAGAGAAGATCTTTGGATAGTAGTTCATCTCAGAAATGGTAAAAACCTTATAAAGCTTTGCATATGCGCGGTCTATATACCAACTTCCGTTAATTCAAGGAACTATGAACAGTTTGTGGATAGTACTAATAATAATCTTTCCGATTTTGATCACTCATTGATAATTGGTGATTTTAACCTTCCTAATTTGGAGTGGCTGAAAAATGATAATGACCTATTTACTATTTTTAACGACTCTCAATGCCAATACTTTTATATGATCTCTGAGTTTATGGCCCTAAATAATCTTAAGCAGTTCAATTACATTAAAAACAAAAACTTGAAAATGCTTGATTTAATATTCTCATCAGAAAGTAACGTATGTGTTGATCAAGCCGACGAAGCATTAACCGCTATTGATCCTTTTCATCCACCTCTTATATTTGAAATTATTTTCCACTCCATCAATCATTTACAACCATCCCTACAACCTAGACCTAATTTCCACAAAGCTAACTATGAGTCTATCAAAAATGAATTGGATAGTGTTGATTGGCTCAATATATTTGCATTATGTAGGAATGTTAATGAAATTGTTACTCGTTTTTATGATGTAGTGCGTGCGTAAGTAAACATGTTCCACTCACCACACCTAAAAGCATTAAATATCCAATTTGGTTTTCTAAAGGTCTTATAAGGAGTATTAAAGAAAAAAAGAAAATTAGACAACGCGTTAAGAAATATAATAATCCGATGGATAAAATTGCCCTAGACTTGCTAAAACAAAGAACAAAAAATTTAATGAAACAGTGCTATAATAGTTATTACAAACGCCTTAAACATAGTATAACCTCAAATCCTAAGTATTTTTGGACATTTATAAAGCATAAGCGTAAAACTAGTAGCAATATACCATCTGGTATGCAATTAGACCATGAAATTGGAGTGGATGAAACAAGCATAAGTGAACTCTTTGCGAAAAATTTTTCATCTATTAAAAGTCTAAATCCACAAGTTTGTTACCATAAACGCGATGGTGTCCATTCATTTTCATCCTCGCTTAGCTCTATTATGCTGTCGGATAATTTAATTCTCACTAGGCTAAAGAGACTTGACTTAAATAAAGGTCCTGGCCCAGATGGATTACCGCCGTTGTTTATATATCAATGTGCTAAGCAACTATCATTACCACTTACTTGTATCTTCAACGAATCTCTTAAAACTGGAATATTTCCTACCTACTGGAAAATGGCTAAAATTGTTCCCATTTACAAAGATGGTACTAAGAATAACATTAGAAATTACAGACCAATATCCATTTTATCTATTTTTCCTAAAGTTTTTGAAGTTTTAATCTACCCTTATGTTTACAATTTACTAAAATTTCAAATTACTGATCGTCAACATGGTTTCCTTAGAAATAGGTCCACCGCTACTAATTTAATTGCCTTCACCAATTATGTTATCCAGTATGTCGATCAGGGTTCTCAAGTCGATGCTATCTACACTGATTTTAGCAAGGCATTTGATAAAGTTGACCATGAGATACTTTTGACGAAATTAAGTAGTTGTGGTATTGGTGGCCCTATTTTGGATTGGTTTAGATCTTACTTAACTCGTCGCGAGCGTTATGTAGTTGTTAATGGAAGCCAGTCTGAACCGTTTAAGGCAACCTCGGGTGTTCCTCAAGGGTCACATTTAGGGCCCCTTCTGTTTTTAATTTTGATCAACTTAGTGACAGAATGTTTTTTGAACACAGAAGTTTACCTGTTTGCTGACGATTTGAAATTCGTTAGACCTGTTAGATTATCAACCGACTCCCAGCTTATTCAAGCCGATTTGGATTGATCGAGTGGTGTACTGAAAACAATATGATTCTGAATGCTTAAAAGTGTTATCATATGGCATTCACACGCAAACATACTCCTATCCAAACTACATACAAAATTGGCAACACAGTACTCAATCAAGTAGAGTGTATACGAGACCTGGGCGTTTTGTTGGATAGTAAACTGTCTTTTGTACCACATATAAACAGTATTATAACTAAGGCGTCCAAAATGTGCGGATTTTTAGGTAGAAACACCAAACAGTTCAGACATACTCAAACATTGCTACTACTCTTTCACAGCTTAGTTCGGAGCAACCTTGAATATTGTTCTCAAGTTTGGTCTCCTTTCTATGAGGTTTATAAGAGTGGAATTGAACGAGTACAGCGGAGGTTCCTTAGTATGCTAGCATTGAAATTTAACCGACACCGCTCCTTAACTTCATATGATGAACGGCTAAAGCATTTCCGTATATCTTCCTTATATAACAGGCGCAAACTTTTGGATTTGAGCTTCCTCCACAAACTATGTAATAATGGCATTGACTGTCCTCAATTACTTGAAATGGTTAACATTAATGCTCCAAGCAGATTACCACGATTTAATGTCTACAAGCTGTTTATGGTCCCACCTCACAGGACTAACCTCGGTCTTAATTCAGCATTATGCAGAATGTTTAGACTGTATAATGATATATCTAGGCCATCTGATTTAGATATTTTCAATGACAATTTAAACAATTTCAGAAGAAAAATGTTACTTTATTTAGAATCTAAGTTTTAGATGATAAATGTAAAACCATTTTAATTTCTCACAAATACGCAATTTTGCTACTGTACTATTAAATTTTACGATAATTAACTTTTCGCAACATTACTCTGTGTTAGCTGTGGTTACCTATAACTGGGTGAACACATTGCATGTTTCTTACAAAGCTTGGTTCTTGTTTTTAGTATTTGTGTATCATCTGTCGGTGACCCTTATAAATAAATAAATAAATAAATAAACACAAATGGGTCGGCTCGATCGGTCAAGTAGTTCCTGTTCTCACAGAAGCCCAGCGTTAAATATGAGCTTAATGTTGTGTACATGTGTTTCGCATGGTGAGTGTAGAACCGGACACCTTTTTTTACTGGAAACGAGGTATTGTATCGTTCTCAGGGGTGACAACGTATCATAATTTTGATTCTTAATAGAGGATAAGATGTAGATGTCTACGTGTCACAGCATGCACCTATCAGGTGGACTGGGTGTTTATCTGTCATCCTTATATTAAAAAAAGTTCGCACCAAAACGTACTGGGATTTTTTTTAAATCGCGCATGTTCTTTTTATTGTGCAGTTCAAGGACGTGCTGCTGCTGGAGGAGGACCTGCCACATGTGCGCGCTGCCGCCAAGGTGTGCGCAGAGCAGCTGGAGCGCGACGTGGCGGCGCTGCGCGGCGGCCTGCGTGAGGTGGCGCGCGAGCTGGAGTACCTGGCGCCGCGCGCGCCGCACCCGCACGATGCCTTCCTGCCCGTCATGCGCGACTTCCACGCGCACGCCGGCTGCGCTGTCACGCAGCTTGAGGACCTGTTCCAGGTGAGCGGCAGAGTAGCGCCCCGCCCAGCACCCGCACGTCGCCTTCCTGCCCGTCATGCGTGACTTCCACGCGCACGCCGGCTGCGCTGTCATGCAGCTCGAGGACCTGTTCCAGGTGAGCGGCAGAGTAGAGCCCCACCCCGCATCGGCACGACGCCTTCCTGCCCGTCATGCGCGACCTCCACGCGCACGCCGGCAGCGCTGTCACGCAGCTCGAGGACCTGTTCCAGGTGAGCGGCAGAGTAGCGCCCCGCCCCGCACCCGCACGACGCCTTCCTGCCCGTCATGCGCGACTCCCACGCGCACGCCGGCAGCGCTGTCACGCAGCTTGAGGACCTGTTCCAGGTGAGCGGCAGAGTAGCGCCCCGCCCAGCACACACACGTCGCCTTCCTGCCCGTCATGCGCGACTTCCACGCGCACGCCGGCTGCGCTGTCACGCAGCTCGAGGACCTGTTCCAGGTGAGCGGCAGAGTAGCGCCCCGCCCAACACCCGCACGTCACCTTCCTGCCCGTCATGCGCGACTTCCACGCGCACGCCGGCTGCGCCGTCACGCATCTCGAGGAACTGTTCCAGGTGAGCGGCAGAGTAGCGCCCCGTCCAGCACCCGCACGATGCCTTCCTGCCCGTCATGCGCGACTTCCATGCGCACGCCGGCTGCGCCGTCACGCAGCTCGAGGACCTGTTCCAGGTGAGCGGCAGAGTAGCGCCCCGCCCCGCACTCGCACGACGCCTTCCTACCCTTCATGCGTGAGTTCCAACGCACGCCGGCTGCGCCGTCACGCAGCTCGAGGACCTTTTCCAGGTGAGCGGCAGAGTAGCGCCCCGCCCCGCACCCGCACGACGCCTTCCTGCCCGTCATGCGTGACTTCCACGCGCACGCCGGCTGCGCCGTCATGCAGCTCGAGAAACTGTTCCAGGTGAGCGGCAGAGTAGCGCCCCGCCCCGCAAACCCACGACGCCTTCCTGCCCGTCATGCGTGACTTCCACGCGCACGCTGGCTGCGCCGTCATGCAGCTCGAGGATTCATCCCCGGCCCCGCACCCGCACGTCTAGATGATTCAGCAGAATAGCACCCCGCTTTGCTTAGCCGCTTGTTCAGATGAGTGCTGAGCTGCAGCAGAGTAACGCTCGTTCTCAGTTGCAAATCTAGGCAAGTACTGAACTGCAGCACAGTAGCGTCATGCCCAGCCCCAGTTATACGTTCGTCGGGGAGAGAGGAAGCCAAAGTAGAGCTGCAATCTGCCTCTTACATCCATATGTCCATGTAGACGGTGAGCTATATAGCAGAGTAAGCACCATGTCGTAGCTCTTGCAGTCGTACGTTTACGTGAGCACTATGCTGAAGTAGAGTAGCGCCTTGCCTTGCACCGTGGCTGCAGGTCTACTTGAATGGTGATCTGTAGCGTTGTAGTGCCCTTCTCCGTGCAACAGCTCGGTCTAGATGAAATGTGAGTTGCTGCAGAGTAGCGCCCCGCATTGCTTAGCTAGCACGTCTAGGTAAGTGGTGACCTGCAGCAGAGTAGCCTTCCGCCGTGTCCCGCGTAGCAGCACGTGTAAATAAACTGTAAACTGCATTAAAGTAGCGTCCTGCTTCATCCCGTGTAGGCTGCGTTCAGGTGAACGGTGAACTGTAACAAAGTAACGCCCCGCCTTGTGCAGCCGTACATCAATGTAAGCAGGTAAGCGCACTGCAGCAGAGAAGCAGCACACCCCGCCCCTAACACTTCTAACACCACTTCAAACACTTCTAAGTGAGTGGTGACGTGCAGCTAAAATAGCCCCTCGTCCCGTTCTGTGCTACTGCATCTTCAGTTAAGCGCTTATCTGCAGCAGAGTAGCACCACACTAATAATGCTCTCCAGACCAAATTTCGGTCACGGCGAACATTTGCACAGGATAATAGTGCATGATTGTGTGCAACAAAGTTTGCCAACTTGTTGAAGTTTAATGCACAACAACTACGTAAAAAAATACATTTTACTTTTTGAGATTAAATTTTTTCCAATAGCAAGCAAAATCCAGAAAATCATTTCTTCTTTGTTATTATGGTCATATATTAGGATATTATTTACAGCTAGTTCTCTGGCACGGGATACAAACGTCAATATTAAGGCTTAAGATATTAAAACAAAAAAAAAAACTGAATAACATGACTTTCTTTGTAGGACATGAAGAGCCGTTTAGAAGCGTGCGCGCACGCGTTCGGCGAGGAGCCGAGCACTTCGCCCGAGCAACTGTTCGGTGCGATGGACGCGTTCCTCACGCAGCTGGCCGAGGCGCGCGCCGAGTGCGACGCGGCGCGCCGGCGCAGGGACGAGGAGGAGCGCAGGACCAGGCACGAGCAGGAGGTCAGAGCCTAATGTTTTATATAAGAACATCACTGGCTGAGGACCTAGAAGGCCAGGATAGCTCAGAGGACCGCTCACCGTAAAATGCGACCAACCCATGTTCGATCTTCGTCGACACTTGCCACTTTAAATGTTAATATACCGCATTTTTTTATAGAGTAAGGGTGGCAAACGAGCACACAGTCCAGCTGATGGTAAGTGGATGCTGTGGCCCATAGACATCCACATTTATCTTCAGTTAAGAATCAAAATGCAAATGCGTTGTCTGCGAGAACGAGGTCCTGCCCCGATTGAGCTGACTCATTCGTGCTACAACTATAATATAGCTGCAGCGTAGTTCTACCACGTGAACTTGCTTGTAGGTGGACATGCATGTGCAACATGGTGGTTTTGTAAACATTCTTGTCGGTGAAGGAAAATATCGCAAGGAAACCTGCATGCTTAGGAAATTAAAAAAAATCGAAGACGTGTGAGATCTATTTATCTGTAAATATAATGTGAAATATCTATGTAAAAAAAATACTTTCTCTTTGTAATCTGTCAGAATATATAATACATTATAACATTGAATGTACTTGCTATAAAATCATTTCCTATAACAATGCGAATACTTCTCTGACTAAAATAAATTCTTTTGAACTGCATTTAACCCGCATTTAATTTTCTTTCTTAATTCACTTAAACCGCATTTAATTTTCACTTCAGAGATCTTTTTTTACCGGTAACGAGGCATTACATATTAGACTTATGTGCCTTTACTATCACTCGCACACACTTACTATCACCTGATCAAACTAACTGTGTGCTTGTCACATTTATATAAAAAAATACATTTTAAAACACCTAAATTTAATATATGTTTTTCTTCTTACAGTTAAAGAAACGTACAATGGAGCGTAAACAAGCATCAAGTCTACTAAGTTCCGTTGGAAAATCTCTAGGGAAAGCAAATAATGCCACGGACTGCAATGGCCATCAAAATGGCGACGGCTCCCGTGACGGGACACTAACGAACGGACAGAAAGGCGAATTTGACGACCTCATATCCGCGTTGCGGACGGGCGATGTATTTGGTGACGATGTTGCCAAGTTTAAAAGGTCCCGAAAAGCTTCCAAAGCTTCCCACAAAGGACGAGACTCCCCACCGAGAGGAGTGTGCAGAGAGGACTCGAGGGAGAGACAGAAGAATTGACCAAGCTCGGAATTGAAGCCGGAATTTTGTGTAAATAATAAACAAATGAATCGACAACGCTATTAGTCATTAACAAGTGATATTTACAAGTTATATGTATTTAGTAATGGACGATTCGATAGTCACAAATTATGAAAACTTAGCGTACCTATAATTAGTATCGACTTGTTTCGTTGTACGTCTGTGCCCAAGGATGTTTTGGTACTGCTAATATTAGTTATACATAAACTGAAAGTAGTAAATAAATTATTTCTACCAATTGATGCTTGATAAATATGTTGATGTCAGTGTTAACTGAATATAAACTGTATTGTAAGGTGTAAGGGTACTATTTACTTGGGATGAACTGATGAATAAAACGTATGAGAACGAAATGAGACGTCTGAATTTCCCTGAATTTCTCTGGTTGAAGATAAATTCCAGGGACAATTCACTTTGATAATTTTTAGGTCAAAAAGTAATTTGTCCACTGAGTAAAAACGTACTAAGGAGTTATTGACGTACTAGGGGTAACGGCCATAAAACTACGTATTTCTAATTTTGATATTGAAACCCTGGTAATATCGCCTAAACTCTTAAAAATATGAGAAATTTTTGGCATAAAAGAAATTTAGTCAAACAACGAATATCTTTTAATCCTTTCCCATTATTGTATACTGATTGAGACATTGAGACATGCTGAATATGGACATGCCTAATTTTTAACACTTCATGTTTCGCAACGTATTGACTGAGTAGTAGAAGACTGGGTGTTATTCCAATTTTCACTTTATATTATACTCTATAAGGTTCCTTATGCTAGGGATTTTTTTAATTTAATACATTTGATATTAAGGCGTGGTAATACGTATCACTAACAAAACATATTTTGAAAAGACAGTGATCACTACACAATTATTTTAACCCGTGTTAATGAAGAAACAAATAAAGAATGGTGACCTATACTGGTATTTACATGTCGGATGGTCAGCAAAAAAGTTTAATTATTAAGAAATACTTTTATATATTATTTATTTACATTAGCTCTTTTTGTTCTTTCCGGTCTTCCCTTTCTTTAAATACTGGCTTGATAGTAAATAGGAAAAAACGAGAATTAAAAATAAAATCGCTGATAAATGACGCAGGCTGATTCAGGCTGATCATTGATTGCTTTTTGAGGTTATTATTAACGTCGCCATTTTGGGTTCGTTTCTTTATTGGTGTGAATTATGAAAGTTGTGAAACTTACATCTTAGAAAATTTCTGTAAAATATTTTAGTGAAATATAACTATCTGTGTGATTATTAGTTGCAAGTTTCACGAATACAAATATTAATGATATATTATGTTATTATTTATTATAACAAACTAATGTATCAATAATATTAAGTCATTAAGTAACACACAAAATAGAAATCTTGAAGACCTGGAACCTAGAAAATGAATCCACCAAACTATTTATTTGTTCGGTGGATTCATTTTCCATGGATTTTATAGGCACTGGTTTATGCTGTAACGCAATATCGTACTTAAATACAAGAAATAAGGCTCTGATTATAACACATATCTTCAATTGATTGCGTGTTTGTTTTTTACGAATATGGGGAATTGTCATGTCAGAGTCACAGTTTTGTCTCAATAGCAGTTTTCTTAAGAAACGTTATTTAATATGTTTGAAGTTCATTGCGTAAATTTTTCAAAAAATTAAGCGATTTACCGTCTACGGCAGAATATAATAATTTGTGTATGTCTTCCAATATTGGAACAAACTGAATCCAATATATAATTGCTTTCTCAAGTGATTGCTACCGTTATAAAAATGTGACATAATTATGATTGACAAACATTTAGTATGGGAATTGAGGAAGGAAATCTACGTAACATGTATTTTAAGGATTTTGTGGATCTTTATAACCTCTCAATATAAACACGATACTGTGTGTTTTGGATATATTTACATAACCAGTTTTATATAACGATGGTTTCTATCGAATAAATTTGAATCTTGTATTCTTGAGATTATAATCCATTGTGTTTTTTTAATTATAAATATATATTTAATTTTAATTTTATCAAATCTGTTACCGGGTAGTGACGAAACCGAAATAATATAATAATTTATTCAAATATAACGTATCTATGGATCGTTTTTCATGTGTAAATTCTATTGTTTTGTTCAGTATTGCTTAAGCCTATAGTATATTATAAATGTCATAACGTAATAAATAGAACCTATTTAAAATAAAAATCCTAAATAAACGCGTGTGTTTTATTACCTTGATATCTAAGCGGTTAGCTTTTTTAAAAATTAACCAGTCTGTGAAAAAATTGGTTTTACTTTGAGCAAGCTTACTCAAATGAGCGAAGGCTTACAGCGTGACATATAATATGATAATCTTTTCGTTCAGTGGGAAAGACTGAAGTTCAATTGTGAACTGCTATGGGCGGACAATACTTATAGACCGTACCGTAGTGAAGTGTAGGGCAGGGCAGACAACATTCGGGAAGTTAAAGGATGCAAGTGCTACGAAATATGTAATAAACTAAGCAGCAGCTTCATAAAGCCTTCCCCTTCGACTTAGAACTTGAAAAATTTCGATGTTTTGGATCCGGTATCTCAAAATCGATACCACAGCCGAAACCATACCGAAAAGTATGTATGTAATATGTAAAGTAGAACCTCATTTAGTTGGATTTACGCAAAGTAACGTCTGATTCTTTTAATTATCTTATAAAAATTATTGTAATTTGTCGGTTTATGGAGAAACTGGAACAAAATTTGAGATTTTAAATTTTAAAATATTTAAATCAAAATAACAGTAGCGCCGGGCCACGATAAAAATATATCTGTGGCGTCAAGCAAACTCACGAGCAAACGAAAAGCGACAATATAAAAGCATTCACTTGTCTATAATGCGAAAAAACCTGTACATGAGCTACAGTAGGCGCGTCGTTTATTCGCATAACGCTGGATTTGGCTTACTACTGTACGGGCCACAGCTTGTGACTCGTACAGCTTCTTTGATAGTTAAATTATATTAAGACGACACTACGTAAATATGAGTGGCGTATAAGTAAGCAAACGTGTTGTTACTGTTTAACAGCGGTAGAGCCACGCGGCAGCTTTGATTGATGCACGTATAGGCCGGCTCAAACCAAGGTGGTACCACGACCTCGCAGAAGACCGTTTCATCTGGTGAGTGCAGGTGGCCAGAGGCCCAATCACCTCACCCATCAATATTTAATGGAATTAAATGGAAGAATACCAGGAGTGTACCAGCACCCCTGCAGAATCCCTCGCTAAGCATCCACGATCAAGCTACCAAACTCCGCTCGAGACTAAACCTGCTCGGGACAAACGGAGCAATAAGTCAAAGGCGCCCCCTACCACGCTATCCGTGGATTTCTGCAACATCAGGGGACTTCATTCAAAACTTGACGTCGTCCACTACCATCTGGAAACGGCGAGTTTGGCCTTGCTCTTTCAAATCGAGACACATGTGGCCTCTCCGGCTGATACTTCGTATCTTTCCTATCTGTGGTACAAATTAGACACTCCTTTGTACCCCGGGCTTCACTTTGCGTGTACGTCAGAGACGACATCTGTTTACGACGCCTTGGCAGCCTTGAAGGTACGAACCGTCATTTTTTAATTTAATTTACCACTGGTTCGCAAGAAAATATCCGTCCTGGGAAGAACCAGCAAGAAACCCAGCGGGACATTTTTTAAACATATTTAAATTTACAATAAATTTATTTTGTTACAATTTTTGTATGAATTTTTATAGAACCAGTAGGTTGCAATCACCTCATTTCCAGGGGTTATTTTAATTTTTGTATTCATTTATATTATAACACCCCTTTTGGTACAATTTTTATTTAGTAAAACATTTAAACTGGTTTAAGAACAAATTTTGTACATTTTCTGGGATTTTGTTGTAAACGCGTATACATTGCCCCATAAATGAATTACTTATTCTGTGGCGTCTAGTTACTGGTATTACAAGCTTATTTTTGTTCCTAGTGTTAAATGTATTAACATCTTTATTCTTATTGTTTTTTTTTGGCATGTCAAAGTTAATATGTTTATTTCCATAAATTTATCTCTAATGGGCTCTTTACAATTTAAGTTGTAAATCGCCCGTACGGCACTCTTTTTGCAAAACAAATATGACTTCAATGTCAATCGCATTACCCCATAGTAATATTCCATAGGACATTACGCTATGAAAGTAACTAAAACAAACTAATCTAGCTGTCTCAACATTGGTTAGAACTTCTAATATTTCCTACAGCATATGCCGCAGAACTAAGTCTGCCTGCTAATTTAGACATATGGGGTCCCACTGCGCCCTCCTTTCTGCCAAAGAGGGTCGCGTTCGTATACGGCTTAGAGATCCCTCGTCAGATCAGTAAGCCAATCCATAAGGGCGGTGTTTAGTGGGTAAAAGACTCCACATAACCACGCAGCCGGCTGCGTGGTATGCTATGAGCATTCACCGCCTCCCTTCCCCGCTTTCCGGAGGGTTAATAAAATATTTTATTAAAATAGTTAAGCAAATATGGGCATTTGCTTCGGGCGCAAAAAAAGGGTTCCCCATTGAAGCTTCGCGACAATATAATACCAAGAAAAACAATTGTATCCACAAGACTCAACTCTTCCTTATTTAAGAGAGCACATTGCTATTTAAAGCGACCCCGTGTGAAACCAAATTGATTTTTATGGAGTAATTTATTTCTATATATAAAAAATTGATATAAAGTTATCTTTTCAAAAATTTTACTGAGAGTTGGTAGTACAGAAATAAGTCTGAAATTAGCGGGCTCTAATGTACTACCAGATTTAAATAAAGGTTTTACCTTTACTATGTTTCATTAAATCAGGAAACACACCAGAATCGAAACTAGTATTAAAAATCAATACAATACAATACAATACTCTATATTGTACACCAACGAAACATAAATATATTGAACAAACAATGAGGGAAAAACAAAGGGCGGTCTTATAGCTTCATAGC